TGAAGACCTCACAAAGCAGCAGTATCATGTGATTCCTCACATGTTCCCAGAGCTTGAAATACCGGCTTTATTACAAGCAGATTTGTTAATCAAGCAAATGTGATACACTGTTCTCTAACTCCCTGAGAAGCTTAATCGCTGTGCTGGGAAAGCGAATTATGCTTCTGTGTTGCTATTCAAAAAATGACAAAATCTTGACATGGGGGTGAACTCCTGCTGTGTGACGCAGGCTTGCCTTAGATCTGTGATTGTTGATCTGGAATGAGCTGCATGCTTTTGCTGGGGTGAGGAGGGTTGAAACCAGCATGCTAAATACACACAACAGCTTGTTGGTAGGTCAGGCCCTGTAAAATCAAGCCAGGCTTCAACACTGCTGGAGCAGAGAATTGTTACCTGAATCCTGTACTTCTGAAGATACCATTTCTGCTGTGACTTCTCGCTTCTGGCATGCTATGCGCCCCCTGTGAGCAGCTCCTGTGTGCATCAGCTGTTTCAGCCAGCTGTGTCACAGGGACTCCAGGCTCTCCTGACATGTGCTCATCTCTTTCCAGGTCAGCTGTGCAGTGCTGCTCTGGGAGTTGAGTACATCCTAGCAATCAGGTGTAACTGCTTCAAATTGATAATGTGCGGCTAGCTGCTGAATTCAGTAGACTCACATGTATCCAGATCTGTAACATCTTTTGTCCAGTAAATGGAAGTGTCAGTGACTGGTTAAAAATCTGACCCTGGGGCAGTGCAGGCTCTTCCAGCCTAAGGCTGCTGTGCTTGGCACTGAGGTGGCCCCCTGGGTCTCTTTTGGGCTGTGGCACAGCGGCTCCAAGCATATTTCTCCTCATGTGGAATTGTATAAACCTGATTATTATTATTATTATTTTTTTTGAGGGAGCCAGAGCCTCGCTGTTCCCATGATTTATCTCCATCTGCATTTTCAGATCACGATGTACCATCCTTCTGACTTTCTGCTCTCTTTTTCAGAAAAGAAGTGATTTTTGTGTTGCATCCCAGCACAATTTCTGAAATGCACTCAATCACTATAAAAGCAACATAATTCACTATTCTCAGTGCTTGCACTCTTGGTATCTGCAGAAGGATGAGCTCTTAGGAGGCACCGTGTGCTGTGCTGCCTCTGACACCATTTGGTCTGACAGTGCTTGTAGTTCTGGCTCCAGCTGCATCATTGCTTAGTAAACAACCTTAGAGAAGAAAGTTGTGGTGAGAAATAAAAGACAGTCTGGTTTGAAAGAGTCTTCAATATTGTGAGATTTACTGAACGACAGATATTTTGTAGTAGCAATCCTGGAATGTGCTTGAAGAAGCTCATTTCAGTCTTGTGTTTCTCACCCCCTCTGCTTCTCTTCTTCCAGATAATAGTAGATGATGATGACAGTAAGGTCTGGTCGCTGTACGACGCAGGACCGAGGAGCATTCGGTGCCCACTCATATTTCTTCCTCCTGTAAGTGGAACTGCAGATGTGTTTTTCCAGCAAATTTTGGCACTGACCGGATGGGGTTACAGAGTTATTGCTGTGAGTATTATCTAGAAACCTTAAATGTGAGAATTGGTGTAACTTTCTAGCAGGAGGTTGACGTCTGATGATTAGAAATTGGCCTTCTGTAACTCGTATATTGTTTCAGTTGCAGTACCCAGTGTATTGGGATCACCTCGAGTTCTGTGATGGATTCAGAAAACTGTTAGACCACCTTCAGCTGGATAAAGTGAGTGCCCAGAGATGGATATATAGTTGCCATAAAAACCTGATGTTTGCAAGTCTCATTTAAGAGCAGATGTGTAGTACATGATGCAAAGCCAGCCTATAAATAAAGAAGCTGTGTTGTGAGTTTATTTTCGAAAGGAAATCCCCTTGAAAATTTGACTAAATTCACTGCTGCTGTAGGCCTATTGAATTGTGTTGCCAACTGCATTTTTCTTTTTTCATGAGATCCTGCTGAAGTTATCCTTCATAACCCATGTTGTACAGAATGCCACCATAAATTATCTTGGATTGGAAAACCTGAATATAAAGTGAAAGGTTCACTTTTTACTTAAGCATGATGAGCACACAGAGATTGGAAGTGTGATCAGGAGACACTTCCTTTTTTCAGTATTTATCTCTTCCTGTAAATCAAAGAACCTTTATTGAAGTTTTGTTTTGTTTTTTTCTTTAAAAATTAGCTATAAAGACAATGTAAAACTTGAATGACTTTTTGTAATGTGACCCTTAAGGGTCACTTATTTCTCAAATGTAACGTGATCTGTTTTGTTTTTCCTTGTTGAATTAGGTTCACCTTTTTGGAGCTTCTCTGGGAGGCTTTCTGGCTCAAAAATTTGCTGAATACACACACAAATCTCCCAGAGTTCAATCTCTGATTCTGTGTAATGCCTTTAGTGACACTTCCATCTTCAATCAGACGTGGACAGCAAACAGGTAAGGAAGACTGAGACAAGCAATGAGGTTGGGGGCATTCACCTGTTTTCTGATGAAACTTCACACTGATCTGCTGATCTGGTTTGACATGTATCTGACTTATTTTCAGCCTGCCTGAAATGGTGAGGGCTGGAATACATGCGACTTCTAAAACCACACTACAAAGGAAACAGAAGTTATCACAATTGGGAGCGTGGAATTTGACAGACCACTCTTGCATTTATTTCCTGTGATTCTCTAAGGATGTGGCCAGACTTAAGAATTCTACTTGATTTCCAGCAAAACCTTTTAGAGTGCTATTCACCATGTTTAAAATACACCCTTGTAACGCAGCAGCTTTCCAGAGCATTTCAATCACTTATTTGCAAGGTTTTCCAGCTCTGCTCTTGAAGCTCTTCACAATTTCATTTGAAATTCTTGCACAAAGTCAGTGCAAGAAAAGGGAGGTCTTAAAAGAAAGCATCTTAATTCTGATGGTTGCATCTCGTTTCTGTTTTAGCTTTTGGCTGATGCCTGCTTTTATGCTGAAAAAAATTGTCCTTGGGAATTTTGCATCTGGTCCTTTAGATCCTGAAATGGCTGACGGGATTGATTTCATGGTGGACAGGGTAGGTGGCTGTGCACTCCAATGGCTGTAATGTCAGTCTTTGTGAGAGATTCACTTAGTAGACGGGAGGTCATAGATATTTCTTCTGCTTTCTTCATTTACGTACCCAGAAGTGAACGGTGGATGGATTCTCAGCAGGTGTTGGCTGTGACAGCCCTTACAATTTAGCTGTTGCTGTGACTTGTCTGCCTTACGACTCCATTTACTTATGTATATGGGAAGAGAAGTGGCTAAGAAAGAGATGGAGAGGAATAAAGTGCTGAGATACAGGCTATGCTCTGGAGGCAGGAACAATTAATTAAACATTTTAAGTATTTGTCTCATGCAGAGAGATATTAAGTTGGAACTGTAATCCTTATTTGAAGTGCAGTCTTGTTTGCCTTTAAAACTAAGGAGCTGTCTTCTCTTTGGCCCTGTTGTTACTATTGCATTAACTTCCTGCAGTGAAATATGTTATTAATCAGTATTTGTCTCTACTGAAAGCTGGAGAGTCTGGGCCAGAGTGAGCTTGCCTCAAGACTAACCCTCAATTGCCAGAACTCCTATGTGGAACCTCATAAAATTCGAGATATCCCTGTAACTATTATGGATGTAAGTTTATTTCACCTTCATTTTTTAAATACTTTTTTTTCCCCAGACATCACTTCCTCCTCTTGGAAAGCAGGGCCTGGGTATTGTGTTAGCAACTTAATAAATATTTGCAGCATTTAATTTTGCATTTAAATAGTTTTTCTACTGACTGGATAAGACAGTGGCTTTTCTGTGTTGAGCTAATGGCTGTTACTGCACCGAATACCCAACTGTTTACTTATCAGTGTTAGCTTTCTAGTCGCTGATGCTTAACTTGTTTGCTTGTTTTCTGTTTCATTAAAACTGTTCCACAGACAAGCTGGCAACTGCTTCTAGAAACAGGGTCCACTCAGTTGATTTAATAAGCAAAATCTGACTAGACTCCTAATTAACTGCTGTGACTTGTTGCACAGGTGTTTGACCAGAGTGCGCTCTCAACTGAAGCAAAAGAAGAAATGTATAAGCTCTATCCTAATGCCAGAAGAGCTCATCTCAAAACAGGAGGCAATTTCCCTTATCTCTGCAGGAGTGCTGAGGTCAATTTATACATTCAAGTGAGTGTCTGCATTCAAACCTAATCTACAGCTGTGTTGCTGAAACAGCAATAGGAAACTTTTTCTGAGCTCTCTTTTTTTTTTTTTTTGCCTGCCTGCTCTGTTTACTCATGCTCCCATATCACTGATACAGAAGAACTGCACTGCAGGTTGCCATGTTTATCAAGGGTTGGCTTTGGGGGCTTGGTTGCTGGCTGTTTCCTCTGTCCCTCGTCTATACTCTTGTATTCCTGGCCAACAATTTCATCCTCACAGAAAAATAACCCTTATAGAATGTCTCACTCTACACCAGTGTCACTCTTATTTTCTGTATCTAACAGATTCATTTACTGCAGTTCCATGGTACCCGGTATGCAGCCATTGATCCCTCTATGGTCAGCGCAGAAGAACTAGAGGTCCAAAAGATCAGTCTTCATAGCAGTAGTGAGCAAGAAGAGCAGTAGGTTTATGACTGCCAATGAGAATGAGGCATCGGTTTGGTGGTCTTCCTGTGTACAATCATCTGTTCCTACTCTGCCTTTCTCCTTGTGTCAGCCGGTTACCACTGTGCGACTCCAGCAGGATCAAGGCAGTGAGCCGCTCGCAGACAATAAGCACTGAGCAGTGTAACAGGGCATCTGTTTAATTTTCAGTCTCTGAATTCAAGAAAGTACCTTGGAAGACTACAGTTTTAAGAACAAGGACATTTTTGCTACCAAAGTCTTCACTATCATGTTCTCACACAGAATGGTATTTCTTTTTATATTTTCACTCAGCTGTATATATTGCCACATGCAGTTTGTGTACTTATAACCTGACATATATTTTTGTTGAATATTTGATTTAAAAGATGTTTATGTGCCAATGTTGCCATCACTTATTTGCTCTAAATGCTGTGTTGCAAGTTAGTTTCTATTTGAAATTTTTAACTTTCTTGCTAGCTGTTAAAAATAGTTTTCAATAAAACTTCGATTTCAGCAATTGCCTCTTCTACTGATTACAAGAGAACAGAAGCGTGGCTTTCTGAGGTCTAGGTCTACCTGTACAGGTACCTTTTAGAAGTTAAGGAATCTTCTGCATGAACTTGCCTCTTGTGTTGAACAGTTCTACTTACAAGGCTGTGGTGGGTCAGCAATGAGAAAGAATTACACATTTTTTTGTTGTTGTTGGATTCATTTCTTTATGTATTTTTTCTTTTTTTTAAGAAAAGGATGACTAGGATATAATATGCAATAGTGTGCAAATTTAACAGTAAAATTCTGATTCATTGAAATACAGACATTACTTCTACTCAAAACACTCTAAAAATACAAAAGCTGACGAGTCAAATCTGTGTTTATGAAAACTGGCCTTATGAGAGACTGTGTAAAATAATCAATGCTAACATCTTTGAGTTAAAACAGTAAAATCCACACAGCGGTGCTCTAGATGAAAACATCAGCCTTCAGGTCATCTTAACAACTTCACTCTTTGTTTCCTAGAACACAGATAACTCCGTGCTCATCTAGGCTTTTCAAGTTACCCAGCTGATTTATAAATGTTACACCGATGAAGTTAACGATCTTCTCCTTAAAGATCACAGACCATGCAGTCACCTCAACTTTTCTGAACAAACTCCTGTGCTAAGAGGGAAGTTGAGAACAAATCTAAGGCGCAAGCACTAGAAACAAACACAAAACAGATAAGCAAAGAACATTTCTCAAAACAAAGGCGTTCTCCCCAGTTTATAAAATTGACAATTAAAAACTTATATACAAAATTGTGACACAAACAAGTTACAGTAAAATACTGCAGTATTTTCTGATAGTCTCACTTGCCATGCTGTGACTTACCTCTTATTACAGTATTTGGAACATATGGAATAGCCAATAAAATCCCACTTCTTTATAAAGGAGGCATTTGGACTGCTACTGTTTGCTGATATCCTGGTAGTTCCAGACCAAGAAGGAAGCAGCAGTGACTTTTATGACAAGCACTGAACTTTTAGCTGCCTTCTGGTAAGTAGCATAGCAAGTGATTCTCTTGTAGCTCATAAGACAGCCAGTGACAACCAGTGGGGGTTACATTGCTGTGCACTTCTTTGGAGAAGCAGGGTCTGCGTTTGCTTTTTTCCGAATGCTTTCTGTAAAAGAGAATTTTCTGAGCATTAAGGGTTTGGGTGGGTATTGATAACACAGTATGATTACTAATGGATGTCTTGATCCGTGTTTGCTGGTTGTTCTCGTGCTGCAGGCATAAAGCTGTGGCAGGATGCATTAATTGATCAAAGAACTAAAAGAGAAATGACATATGGAGTGGTGGCAAGGGGTGGGACAGGGCACAGTGTCTTCCAGCCCGTGATTTGGTTTCATTTAAGTTTTTTTCTGGATGCTGTATTAGCAACAGAATTCAGCTAATGCTTATTGCGTACTGTTTGAAGGAAAACAAAAGTGTTACCTGCTAAATCTCTTCTTCCAATGCCCACAAGACCTTCATACAACCCCTTGACTGGATTTTCTCCTGCCATGATCACACCGTGAAGCCAGATTAGCAACATCCTGTGGCCATGCTCTCTGTAGCTTGCAGTACCTGGTGAAATGAAACTGACTGAAACTCTGCACTTTGCAATCCATTGCCCTGACTGAAGCTGATTTCTGACCTCCTGTGTTTGAACGCCCCTCCTCTTTGGATTTGAGGCTGTAAAGTACAATCTGTCTTAACTCCTGTTTGGTCAGATTGCTAGATTAATATTAAAGCTAACTTAGGAGGTGATGGATGAGCTTGGGCTTGTCAGGCAATCTTTTATATCAGTACAGAATTTCAGCCTTTGAAGCATAGCTTAGTTCCTTGCTTGCACTATGCAGACTACAGGGGCTCCCTATGGTGACCACCAAACTGGCAGTGATCTGTTTCCAGAACCTGGTGCTACTAAGGCATCTGTTAAATCCCCAATGGAACTCTGCTGTTGCCTTCATTCAGCTTCCTACAGAGGATAAACAAGTTTTTTTCTGTCCTAAAGAAAAAAAAATTAATTCAATTTCTGTAGCAAGACGTCAAGATCTGGCAGCACCTCACAAAGCAATGGACAACTGACATCCATGCTTGTGTTGACTCCCAGAAGTGTACAGATATCTCCCCGCTCATTAAGTACATTTTGGTTGCTTCGAGTAAGCCAGGTGGCTTTCTTTACACTTCAGTAGTACTGCAGACCTTTGTCCTGGAAATGCAGTCCAAATGAAGTACAGAAAACAGTTGGGCAATGTTTTATACCTGTCCACTGTTGCTCAATGGCTCTAATATGTGCATCAGTGAATTTCCAGTAATGTGCCAGCTTCTTCCATTCACCAGGTTTGAGGTATTTAGTGGCTAACCTCCACATTACTGAGCGAATGTGCTGTGTTTCCACCCTGTGATCTTGCTTAAAGGTCAAGTGCTTTGCCACCCAGGAATTGGAGTCACTGTTCAGGTTGTCCTGCAAAGCCAGAACAGGAGTTTCAGAGTGGGATATTGCAGAATTGCTATCACAGTCTTTCTTGGGATAAGATGCAGTTTGGCATGTCCTGCTGCTTTCATGTTGCAATTCAGCTTTCCTGCTGGCATCAAAGTGCAAAACTGCATCTCGTTCTCATGTCAATCTACAATAGGTTTTGTCTTGTTGGGGCTGACAATCTCAGTGAAGCTGGGACATTGAAGATCTGTTCTGTTGGTATTACTGACATCAGCCCCATCGTGCTCCCTGGACCAAGACCTGCACATGCCCTCCTGCTATCACCAAAGCTTTTTACATAGTTGTCACTCTGCTGTCTCCCACACACCCACAGGTTGCTACAAGCTCACTCTGGCACAGCACATTTCTTTTATTCTTGTTTCATTCCACTTTAATGATGCATGTTAACAAATATAGTTAATAGCAGCTTTGCTGTGGAAACCCATGGAAATCACAGTTTGCATTTTTATAGCACCTTTTATCTGGGACTTGTATGAAGAATCATTTAATCAAATTTCCTTGCTCCCCTAGAACACAGACATGTGCTCACCTCCTTTGCCTGCCAGACTGTAAGCAGGATAAATGACTTTGCTAAGGGCTACATGGGAAGCCCATACAAGGGTCTGACACACAGCATTATTTCTGTGCCTATGCCACAAGCTTATGCCCTCCTTTCCCTTCTATTCCTTCCCTTCTAGAGTACTGCATTTCCTGGTAGCAGGGAATGCTCCAGGTCCATGAAGACGCAAGGAATATGGTGTTCAGCTGTGCTTTTAACGTGCTCTCTGCTCAGACTGTGTTGGGCACAGATCTGGGACTTGGAGGGGGCTGAGGTTGAGCAGCTGTACCCTACGCACAGGAGACACTGCTGTCCCACAATTGGGGAATGCAGGAGGAACAGCCCCAGCTGTGGGGAAGTTTGAGAGGGAAGTTGGTTGTATGATTCCAACAAGAAACTATCACTCACCTTGCAAGAAATGATATTTGTAAGAGGTGAGGTGTCCCCCACTGCTGTAACTCCCAAGGTCACAGTTATTGACCTCAAGCCAACATTTACCTACTCAGTGCTTCAGTTTCTCCTTCTGGGAAAAGGAAATAATTATACCCCACTCTCTTCTGCAAGGCTTTGGGAAAGCTGCCAGAGAATCTTTGAAAACCCCTGTTCACTTCAGCACAGCCTGAAGCTTCTAACAACACAGGCTTTTTAAAAAATACAAAGCCTTAAGTAGATGTGACATGCTGAGGGCTTTTGTTTTCCTTTATATGAAAGCTGAGGTCAGGCTGTCATGGAATGTCCTGCATTTCTTTTTGTTTTTTTTTTGATAGTTGATAATGTGGAGTCTCAGTGGAGACAATAAGGGCACATCTACCTTGTAAAACACAGGGTATGGTGATATAAGCTGCTCACCTTTTCCCATTTGTAAAACCGATCTGCCTTGATAATCATGTCTGCCAAGTTGATGTGATTGCCTCGGGCAGCAACATCCAGAGATGTTTTTCCCTGCTGAAATCAGAAGGGGAAAAATGAGCTGGAAAAGACCTAACTATGCTCACCTGGCAGTCATTAACAGCAGGCAGCTGATCCTATTGAGCAATGTACCTAGCTGTGATGAAGGATCCTTATTCTCCACCTGTAAACCAGGTCTCCTCATGTAAACCATGAATTACCTTCAACTTATTGCATGCAAGGCTTAGCGAGTCATTTGCCAAGATCTTCAGTATTTCTTCTGCTGCCATGGGAGAACTGTCAGTTTGACAGCAGCATCTGGGAATGCATCTTGTAAGTCACAGTGGATTGTAGGATGCTCTTAGGCACCAGCAATATGGGTGCTGTCTTCAACAGATTAGCTCAGCTCTGTAATCTGAGACATTTTACAGCCTTTTGCATAGCAGGTTTGTTGATGCACAAAGCTGAAGTAGTTTGTGCAACCTCATTAACTTTATAGGATCCACCATGTGTGATTAAAAATGGTCTCCTGGGAGAAGCACAGGTGGATGGGACTATGAAAATGTAACTACACTCCTTACATAAACATAATTTTGGATAAAGTGATTGGCCAGTGGGGAGAGTGTGTGTATGTATCTATATAGAGCATAGAGAAGAAAGGCACAAGATTAGAAAGCTGCACATAGGTAGGTGAGCCAGCTCAGCCATCGGGCATATGAAGGATTCTAATCTCAGATATGAGCAGAAGCCCAGTTTCACACAGAAAAGTGTGAATGTGTTCTCTGCATTGAGCCTTGCTGTGGTTCCACAGACTGCTGGAAGATGACAAATGTTTATTATAGCTAAAGGCTGTTTCAGCCAGGTGGCTTTGGATCTGCTTTTACCCATGTATTAATGGAAGACACTTCATTAACCTCTGCTCAAGCCCCTTTCAGCATTTTCTAGGCACATTACAATGCTTTCAGGCTGCACACAACGTGCATGACTCCTCTACAATTCCCTTTTCTTTTTAAATTTAGGAGCTAAAACCCAGGACACTGGTACCAAATTTATACAAACCAGATACTTTAAACCTGTTAAAACGTACACTGTGATCCCTGATTAACATTATTTATCATACTTCCATCAAAGGTATTAACCTTTGATATTAATGTATACAGTATCTCAACCAGAAGTTTTCTGTGTTCTGTCTTCCTAAGAACCAGTCACTTCCTTACTGGGAAAGGCATCAAACCAACCTACTCAGTAACATTTCCAGACCTTATCCCTGGAAGTACCCAGATTTTAATATTCTCCCTAGCGCTTCTTAAAAATTAGGAGAAATACCTGTAAAATGAGAAAGATCTATTCAACCCACGGAGACATTCACCTTGTCTGTTAGTTTCAGATTTACTCCTGCAATGAGAATCATCTCGGCGATGTCCTGCCTGCCGTGCTCTGCAGCGATGTGAAGTGAGGTCTGCTGCCTCTGCATAAGAAGGGTGAAAGGAGTAAGTTTCAAAGAGGCACAAGCGTGAGGCTGTGAAGATAGGAAGGAGCAGTACCAGACGGAAGCACTGGAAGAACAATCAGCTCTGCCTTCCTTTCCTCTCCAACCCTTTTTCAACTGAGACACAAACACCTTGAACTGGCACTGGGTTCCTCAAGCTGAGCCACGGTCTGCCCCTGTCCTAGCACTGGGATGCCTCCCTGATGACATTTCAGTCTGAAGAAGGAACCTCTTCAGTCTCATACATCTCCTGGGGCTCACTTGTAGGAACGTTTTATTTCATGTTATTTAAACGTTTTCTGTAGGCAAATAGTTTGGCAAGGAAGGAATGAACCTGTGCCAATTCTTCGTTCTGAGGATAAAGGGTCTGCTGAGTGTGTACACACCGCAATCTGGAATTACTTAATAGAAAAAATTAAAAATCAAATACAAAATGTGGTGATTGTGTGGTTGCATGGACAGAATATCTCCACAAGAATGAATATTATCCCAAACACTACAAACAAGCCACAAAGTTGCAAATAAAGCCCCTCATTCCCAAAATTATAATCAGTCAAGACAACCAACTACCTTTGGGGAATACCTTCTGGCCTGAAATTTCAGTCACCTGATTCCAGCAGAGGGCAGAGGTTACCCCATGTCCCAGGGACACGGCACAGCCCACACGGTGAGTGAGCACTATCAAGAGCTTACCTCACTGCAGCACTCAGTATCATTTCACAGGCTTCACATTTCCTAAATTACACTTCCACCTTTTCCCCATTTTAAAGCACTCCTCTTTAGTCCCATCCCCAAGGTCCCCATCTTCCACAAAATGGGTTCACATTTCAAAGGAAAAAAAAAAAAAAAAAAAAAAAGAGTTGCAGACTTACATTATCTGGAATGTCAAGGTCACACTCTGCATCAATGAGGAGCTTCACCAGTGCTGGGAAGTTCTGCAGTACCGCCAAGTGTGTTGCTGAAGCATTTTGCTGTACAAGAAAAGAACCTGTGCTTAGACAGCACTCACCTCCATCGCATAAAAAGACTGCATTGTGCCCACAGTGTCCAAAACAAGACAAGTGCCAGCCTGGACTGGGGGGTACTGGGGATACTGCCTCATAAGCACAGGCTCCACAGAAGCACCAGTCTTTACAAAGTTGCTTGGTGCTCTTGAACAGCTTCACCAGCTGTCTTTGCCTATTGGTATGGAACGAGAGCAATGAGTGGGACTCACATGATTAACAGCATCGACGTGGATTCCTGCATTCACAAGGATCCTGGCTATCTCCTCATAGCCATGTAGCGCTGCATAATGAAGGCAGTTCATTTTCTTCTAGAGGCACATCAAAAAATACAAGTATTAGTCAGGGCTTCTTCTCAGAAGCCGCATTTGTTACAGACTATTCACAGAAACCTCCACGCTTCCTTCCTGCAAGAAACCCATGCCCCAGAACTAGTAAATCCACACAGATCATCTCCACAGCTCTCTGGTCCCAGAGCAGCTTCATGTACCCCTTTGTACAAAGCCACACAGGCTTTCATCTGCACTCTCTGCTCTACTTCTGCCAACTCCAATTTTCTTAAGGCAGACCTGAACCCAAGACCTTTCTACAGGTATCCTGTCATGACAGCAACAGGGGTATAAAGGAATCTACAAAGAAAGACTAGCCTCTGTGATGAAGGGGCTCTCTCGAGACTTAGGTAACTGCACAAAGGGCTTCTCCACGCTCACACTACATCACCCAGCCATTCTCCAAAAGAAAGCTCAAAACTAACCCTGCACAAGCTGCTGGCTGTACCAACACAGTTGCACAAGCTGTGCAGGTACAGTAGTCACACTAGAGAAAGCTTCTGACAAAGGAGTCACCTCCACAGAGCTCACCTGAGTTTGGACATTGACATCAGCTCCTGCTGCCAAGAGCAGCTTTACACAGTCACTGTGACCTCCCTCAGCAGCCAGGTGTAAACACGTAAGTCCTTCCTGGAACAAGGCAGGACGAGAGAAGCAAAAAGGGAAACACACTGCTCTTCTGTAAGCAAGGACAAGATGAAGTAGTAGAACAAGCAAGTCTCAACCGTATCTTCTGAATTCATGACATGTTAAAATAACAAGTGTGATTGTTAGGAAAATAATGAACACAATTATCTGTCACTAACAGAGTACTGCTCTGTCCTTATGCCATGGGAAGCAGCTGGCCTACAGGCCACACTGCTTCTCCCTTTTCCTTCTGAGGGCTACAGCTCATTTCTTTGCAAGAAAGCAGCAGAATTCATAGGTGAGTTCATCTGGTTTTATTATAGCTCTTGCAGAGGGGGCAGCTATTCTGGGAGTAACAAATGCTACCAGTTACTAAAATTGCTGGTTTCCTTTTTCTTTCAGATCTTAGTGACAATCAAATGTACTTTGGAAGAACTGTAACCAAATAAGACTAAAAAATAGCTGATAAACTTAATTGGAAGTGTGCCGTGGAATGAATACTAGCTTAACTGAGCCAATATTTGCTATCTAAGTAATTAACTGTGTTCTAGCCACAGAATTTTCTGAAGCAGGTCTATCTATTCTGTTTGAGAGATCTCAAACAGAAGGGCCATATGTTCAGTGGCTAAGTCAATACTATAAAGCACACCGAAGTTGAGTTTAAAACACACTCAATAACTATTTAGGCACTTGAATGTACAAGGGTCAGAGAGAAAAAGGGAGATAACAGAATGATAAGGTAGGTGAGGAGGTACAACTGAAAGAAAATGAGACGCCTTAAAATTGGATACTGGTCCAAGAAGGATGTTGCTTTTCACTGATACTCTCCAAGTGTGACTTCCTTTTAAACACATTAGATAAAATCAGTTATCTTCTAAACCTCATAGTGATCACTCAGCCTGATGACTGTGGCAGGAGAGTATTTCTAGAGATAGAAAGAGCAAAACTTGTGTGATTTTCATTTCATTAAATGTACTTACTAAGTTCTTTTCATCAAGGTCAACTCCAACATCTACAATCTTCTGCAGCACAGAAAGATGTCCATTTTTAGCAGCTAAATGCAGTGCTGTATCCTTTTCCTGAAAGCAGACATCATTTCATACATATACACACATATATGCTTATATAAATATCATAGGATTGAGTGTTCATACAACATAATTTTGCAGTGTACCCAAGAGTGACTGAAGAAGAGGCCATAACCAGCAGTAACAATCTGAAATACAGTCTTGTATTAAGAGCAGCATGAAGTCAAGAAACCCAGCCATCTTAAAGTGGAGTATGGTCCACCAGGCTTGCTGGTGTACCCACCTGCAAAATTCTGGAGAGAAACCCAGCATGGACTGAGGAGCAAATGGCTTGCAGGTAGGTAGGGAAGAAAAGTCCTGACATATCACAACCACAGTTAGGAATGCTGACAATTTGCCTGCATTGACCTTATTTGGAATCCCATGCCTGACTCTCACATCCTCTGATTCTTGGATTTTACATTCCCTCGTGCGTGGTTTTATGCCCATACCTTGTCTTTAGCACTGTGAGAACAACCGTGCCGGATTAGGAACTCCACCACCTCCAGCTGACCATGCTCTGCAGCCAGGTGAAATGCTGTCCTGTCCATCTTCGAAAGAAAGCAGAAAAAAAACACAGCCCAACAAGGCTCAGAAAGCAGATTACATCATCTGCTGCAAGCACACAGTTCTCAGCAAAGTTAGTGTCCATGCAGGCAAAAAGTGTCACACTTCTAAAATAGTTCTCTTTTATTTTGCTGTTAACTTGTATTCTGCTTTACTTTGGGTTACGGTAACAACACGAGCTGAACAGAACTACAGACCAGTGTTCACAACTTTGTCTCACAAAACACTGGAAAGTTTATAAAAATAGAGAATAAAAAGCTTACTAATAGCAACCAAGGATAACACAAAATAGAGAAATAATATCTGAGACATCAGTTATCAAGCAAGTCAGAATTTCTTCTGGAGAAAGGTAGATCTTATGCTGCCTGATTTAGTCTCCAAGAACCAGAATGGGGAGGAATAGAAAAAAACGTGTGCCAACTCCTGCATGTTCCTGTCTACAGGAACAGATCAGCCATGGCTGGAAAATGCTGAGAGTCACCCATGGTTGTAACAAATGGCAACATTCTTGCTAAGCTCAGCAGAGCAAGATCAGACCTAGCCAAACAAATGAGTGAAGAGAGTTCCCACCTTGTCTGTCTGATCCACGCACACATCTTCCAGGTCCTCCATGATGAATTCCATCACCCGGAGGTGTCCCCTCTGTGCTGCACAATGAAGCAGGTTCCTGCCATTCTGGAGAGGGGATCAAAGATAGTTTATTTAGCAAGTTGAATGCTGAGGGACAGTCTCTTTCAACAACTTATTCCTGCTAGCAATGACTTGTCTGAAGTCTCCCTTTACCTCCAGAGCTGTACTAGTATCTACTGCAGACAGGCACATTATGACTGAAGTATTCATGCTCCTTTCCCCATCCAAGGTTTATTTTAAAAAGTGTGGTCCATTCTCCAGTTCTGTAATGCCTTCCATGTCAGCACTGCAGAAACTTGAGCTGAGAAAGCCTCATACATCTCTATAGCTACAATGATTACATCTGTTTCAGGAGTAAGTCTAGGCTTGAAAGTGAAGATGGCTTCACCTAAGGTCACCCCATCAGAGAGATGATGTTGTCACACACGATTACCTTGGCTAATAGGTAAGCCTCTCTCTCTTTCTGTCACTCTCTGGCTCTGCATGACAAACCCAGATGCAGAGACTCTCACCTTATTAACACAGTTTATCTTCGCCCCAGCATTGACAAGGATATGCAGGACATGGAGGTGGCCAAACCAAGCAGACAGGAGAAGTGCGTTCATTCCAAACTGGGCAGAAGAGAAGAGAAACATGTACAGCTAAACTGCAGACCACTACCATCCCCACTCTAATGCTAAGCTGTCCATGAACTGCCATTTAGCTCAGCTAGTGCCATTCCTGCCACCAATGGTCTCAAAAGCTGAGCAGAGTCATACCTCTTAACTGCCACCTCCTAGTCAGTGGTGTCCATTAGCCTGGTTGTTATGAGGAAGAGAGAACTTGATGGCAGTCATAGCATTTCCACAAGCCTCACCAACATGACGACAAGAAGCTAAGCATTCCTGTGCTATACAAAAACCTTGCATCCTCCCAGACATTTTCCTGGTCACTGTGCTTGCAGAAAAAAAGGCTAGAAGACAAAGCACAGAGGCAGCCTAAAATGTGGCAAGCTCCAAAAAGCCACTACACCTTTGCAGAGAAGCTACAGCTTCTCAGGTACCACAGTGCCTTGTGCCATCCACTCAAAACTAAGGTGCAGCCTTAGCCAGCCCAGCACCCCCCAGCAGTGCACACATTTGCAGGATGAGCAAGAGATGTTTGCCTTCATACACTGTCCTCATCATCCACTGGCACATCATGGTCCAGGAGCAGTCGCACAGCATCCACATTCCCAGCTCCTGCAGCCCAGTGCAAGGCAGTTCGCTCTGTCTGGAAGAGAATGAAGGAAAGAGCCAAAGCTGATGTATGCAGAATGTGTGCATTTTTACCACCCTCCTAGAAGACCCAAATCTGTGCAGTTTTCTTTGGCCACAGCCTCTCCCTCCTTGCTCTGCAGATAGTGACCTCACTGGCTCCAAAGAGAACCATAAATTACAACCCTTTGTCAGTGCTTGCAACTTTCCAGTCTGCTCAGCATGCCATTTCTGTTGCTTTCAAGTGTGCTGTGAAGCTGCCCAGTTGCCACAGGTTCTATTTGGCACTGGGCAGTGTACTTTAAAGCTTTGGCCAATTGAGCAGCTAATGAGGAGAGCAGTGTAACAGAGCTGTAGTTCTCAAACACATTCAGCACTTCCGGCAGCTTGGAGGCAGGAAAACTTGGCACTTACATTGTTTTTGGCTTTGATATCGACCCCCCTCTTGATGAGCTCCTCCATCCTGGCCGTGTCATTACGCTTCGCTGCATCATGGAACTCCTTCTCTGAATGAAGCACTGCAGCAGAGACAGAAGAGCTGGTACTGAAACAGTGCTGGGATGAAGCATGGAGCAGCGTGCCTCAACAAACCTCCCCTTCAGCTCACCAGTTCTCATGACTTCAGGGAAGGAAGACAGCAGAAAGATTCCTGGCTGGGATGCTGGCCTGTTTGCTGGATTCATCTTCACCTGCTATCTCTCCTTTCCTGACCACAAATCAGTGCTCTTCCAGTTCTAATTCAGTATCTCCTGTTTGTAGGGATTTGTTCTATCCTTCTGGTCTGTGACATCTGGTACCCTCCAAGCCCAGAACTGATGTGAAGACTCAAGCAGAAGACACAGACTCTTCCTTCTGTCACTCCACTTACTACCTGCTGCTCTACAAGGATGCCCTTGCACATGGTTCTCCTTTCCTGCAACGTGAACCAGCCAGGCAGGACACAACCACTGTCCAGCTGTGATTAGTGTTGCATCTCCTAATAGACTGTGGCAGTTCTGCACATTAATTTACACAAATGGCAGCATTTGTCTTGCACAGCAAGGCATAATTTAAGGGTGTTTACTCTCCATGCTGGGCCTTGCCTCAGCAATCTTCTCCTTAATCGAACAAACCCTCCTGCCAAGAAATGAGAGCAATGTGACTCTGGGCCTGCTGCAGCCTGACAGGGAGGATCTCAGGGTTTTTGGCAAGGCTGCTGCGAGCCTTTGTCAGATTCAGTCACTGCCCTAATGGCTTTAGAGAATTCTTTAGAGAAGTGATTGAGTCAGACCCTCGGCCTGTCACATCCTGCTGGAGAGCTGGCACAGATGCTCTGCTCTCTTCTATTTTTTTTCTGTAGCTCTCAGGCTGCTGTTTGAGGATAGCAGGGGACCAATGCAACTTTTGTTTGTTGTTTTCCCCTCCTCAAGAATACATGCCTGTGTCAACCAAAGCTGCTCATGTTTTAACCCAAATGTAAGTCTAGGTAGCAATCTTCAATCACACTCTTTTGCTGCTGCTTGACACAGCCCATTCTGATTTTCAAACCTACTATTTATAAGCACTTCAGGATCGTACAGAACTGTCACTCTCTGGGAGCACAACCATCTTCTCTGTTTTGCTCTGTGCCACTAAAGATGCCCCAGTCTATGAAAAGGTCCTCACAGGTGCACAGCTTCAAGTGCTAGATAGCAGATCTAAATCCACCCTGCAAATGCAGAGCATCAGCAAAGTGGTTCTGCTTATATTCTGGCAAAACAGCTCCTGAGCAGCTCCGCTCTCCACTGGTTCCCACAGCCTGAAAACTGCAGGAACGACAAGGCTGCCTGCATTAACCAAAAATCAACCCCTAATGACCCAACAAGCAAGAAGGAAATGCTGGACTATGTAGGGATGGTTTTGCTCAGGTTAGTTTATTTCATTTGTATTGACTAACTCTGAGAACGTTGGAAAGCAAATGGTGGCAGGCAGGTTCTCAGCTGTAATTAAGCAGAATTCCATTCACTTGACTGCTGATCTAGATATGGATAAGCCTCTGCCTTAGCATTATCGAATGTAAATCAAGAGGTTTTGAACACCTTCCATTAATTCTATGTGTTTGCAAACATATAGGCCTGACGCTTCATTACTACTGAGAAAATGTTATCAACCAGAGACAAACCACAAGCCATAGAGAGGCACCAGAACTTTTCACTGCCCCATTCAGGAGATAAACAAGAGACTCTCAGTCTTAGTTAAGCGAATGCCTTAATTTCTCAGGCAGAAATGCCCTCTGCGTACACACAAAGCACAGGTGACTCGCTGGGAGGTGCCACACCACCACTTCACTCACTCTCTCCTCTAATAGCCAAGATAAAGCAACAAATCTAAGATCTCTAAGGCTGCAGAAGCTGAAACTTACTTATTTTCAGCAATGTAGGAGAAACAACTGGATGGTGTGATTGCCTCTTCAGCATCGACATTGAAGAAGTTATCCCTGTGAATGTGGATGTACTCTCCATCACAGCACACACCTGCCCCACAAGCACCATTTATATTCATTTAATGTTCTACCGTTTCAGCTGAGGTTCTGGGGTATGACCACCCTTAAAGTGCTCAATATGAGTTCAGTGATCCCAAACAGCACAGAAAACACTTCAAACACTTTATCCTCAGTGCAACGCACCAACAAGCAGGCAGCTTATTATGCAAGGCAGTAGAAGAGCAGAAATACAGGCACAGAAACATGTTGAGAGACCGTTCAGGGTGGCAGCAGGCCAAAACGCAGAATATGGGGTACTTACGCACACCTCAGGTGCATGCAGTGCTTTAAAGCAAAAGCAACCTGCTCTACACCTAGCTGTGTTTTGAATGGAATTTTGCATCTTCAATTATTCCTAAAAGCATTTCCGTAAGCGGGTGAGGGAGGGGGGGAATCTTTATTGCTCCTATAACCACAGCTAGGATGGGGTGAGGGGGATCCCACAGCGCTCCACCTCATTGCCCACAGCGCGGGCAGCGCCGCTCGCACCCACACCCCCTCCTCACGGCTTTCCCGCCCAAACCCCCTCCTCACGGCTTTCCCGCCTCCGCCCGCCGCGGCCCCACTCACGCGTGTCGTCGTCCGAGGCCGGCTCGTCCCCCATGTCACCTCCTTAAGGCAGGGCGGGCACAGCCCCGCCGCCTCATGGGCGGGCCGACTGCCGGCCCGCACCGCCGCAGAGCGTCTCTTTCGCCGCTGTTTAAAGTAAGATAAATAGAATATCGCCGTCGTTTCCGTACACGCCGCCGTTTGAAAAGCCGAGCGGCTGCAGGGGCTCGCCAGTTGTTTTGATGCAATCCTCATAAAGGGGAGAAGGTGGCCTTGGGTCAGCAATCCTTGCTTTAAAAATATATATATATTTAATTTTGCTTTTTGTTTGTTAAAATAGGCCGTTGTGGAATGGCTGCGAGGGGCAAAGCCCAGGCATCTCATTCTGGGCTCCGTGCCGTGACTCCTCAGCCCGGTGCTGCCCTCCCCTCAGGGTGTTCAGCTTCAGTGCCCTCACTAATACGGTGCTATGGGTGGTTTAGTTCTGTTTCCACACCGGTTTGAGAGGAGAGGGTTTTCCTGTGGGAAATACAGAGTGGGTTGTTGTGTTGTTTTTGTGTATTTGTTTTTTAATTTGGTTTTTTTTTTGTTTGTTATTGTTGTTGTTGTTTGTTTGTTTCCTGAATGTAAGATTTGGCATTTCCTCGCTGTGTGGCCAAGGCACAGCAGAAGGTGCAGAATGGGGTTAAATCGGTTCTTTACCCATGGTTTGAGTTAATTCTCCTGTTTCAGCATCAGGATCTAGTTTTGCCTTTCATTTTCTCTTTCCTTCTGATAATTCTAGGAGGAAGGAACCAGATAATGGTTGAGCTAGGGGTGGGGGAAGGTTCCAATCCCTCTTGCAGAGGCCTGAGGCAAGCAGAAAAAAGCAGGGTCCAAAGCAGCAGTGTGTGAGGACACAGAAATGACAAAGCTGGCTGCTCAGCCCAACCCGCTGGCCCTGCTCCTGTGCCAAGAGCCTGGGCAGATGCTGTGAAGTACTCTCGATGCATGCTTTTGTTTTACCTGACATCTCCTTACATTTTCTATGCTTTCTTGTGTCTGCTTGCGCTCTGTCATGCCTTTAATACAGGGTGACACCTTGAGTGACATGTTGGCTTGTTTGAGTAAATGCTGTTGTTTGCTGGTCCTTCAAGGAAGATGCTGTGGAGAGAAAGGAAGAACCTGTTCTGCAAACTTAAAATGGGCAGGACTGGGAAGCATGAGCTTAAATCTCAGTAGCCAGGACTTCAGTTTCTTTTGCATGTAGCTTACCAGTGGCCAAGACAGCAAAGGGGAGCAAGCTGTGTGACAGGGATTTCTTTGCTGCTGATCACAGGGAAGAGAGGCTCATCTTGTGGTAGAAGCTACCTTGCGAGGCCCTTGCTAGCCCTGACGCTCTGCTTTCTCTGTAGCATCACATTTGGATTCCCTCCCTGCACCATGCCAACTGGCTCCGTCAGACTTCATGCTTTTCCCGGGCCCCTATCCTCCTTAGAAGGAATCCTTAGAGGAATCATCTAGAGGGGCTGGACGACCGGTTTTGGCTGGGAGCGCAGAGCGACCACACGAGGGTGCCAGTGCTGTTTACCTGCCAGGATTCGCTGTGCTGTGCAGTGAGCTCAAGGCTGCAGCTGGGGCTGTCCTCGGGCTCAGGCCGTGCTTAGACACTACCGTCCTGGGGATCCTCGTGCAGGTCTTAGCTGCTCCTATGTGTGCTGAGATGCAGTGAAGCAGGCCCAAAGGATGCAGAGATATAGAGACCCTTTACTAAAGGAGAAATGTCTGTGGGCACAGCTGCACCCCATGCAGACACACCAGAACTAACTAAAGTGCTGGGCTGATCCATGGGTTTCCACCTCGTCAAAGGCACACTGATGAGGACTGTGCACCCAAGTGCTTCACTGATGCAGCTGTCTTGCTGTGGGACCACTGGCAGCAGTTGCAGCTGTGAAATGGAGAAGAATGCCTATTGCCTTGGTAGACCCTAATCTCTAAAGCGAACACAGGATTGTGTAGGGGTCTGTGGTTAGCTGCTGGTCTCAGAGCTTAGGATTTGGGGTTTGTTTTCCATTTATTCAAATTGAATTTAAAAAAAAAAAAGAAACACCCTCAGTGATAGGAAAAGCAAGCCTACGGGCTGCCTGGGTAAAGGAAAAGCCCTTCTGTACAATAGCTCAGTGGGTAAAGCATCCTCCCCGAGGGAAGTGGAAAGCTAGGTTTGATCCTCTCCTCTGCCGGAGGGGAGTTGCAAACCCTGGTCTCCGCAGGACCCCAGAGAGTACTGTAAGCAGCAGGCTGCAAGCATGAGTTTTTCTTGCTTTTTCCTGTTATTTTAAATAATTAATGATTTGATGAAGCACTGAGTGTAGAAGGCAGGTGTCCTGTCTCCCTGGAGAGGAGTCTGTGCACCCGGCTAGACACAGACTTGCTCTCTCTCACAATGAATATTTAAGTGTTTTAGACAAATTGGAACAGAGCCAGCAGGAATGACTGAGAAGGGCTGAGCCTTCCCCAGTGGGTACCCTACTGCCCGAGGGCTGGGGAAACAGCACTGAATAGGGCAGAGAATAATCCCTGCTTGTGTGTACCTACTGTGCCCAGCTCAGCAACCTCCCAGCCCTAGGTGGCACTTCTGGCTTCTGCTACTCTTTCACTTCGCTAGAAGAGATTCAGAGATGGAAAGCTGTTTGGACTTAGCTTGTCACTGTCAACATCACTGTCTGCACCTCTCCCAGAACCTGAATCAGCTAGGATTGATCTCCTGTGGCTTTTCTGCTGCTTAATGCTGACCTCAGAGAGAAGTAGCACAGATGCCCTGGAAGTTTGCATCTGTGGGCTTGGGTGTTTCCAGCGGGCAGAAAAAAAAGCAACGTAGGCAGTTTCTTCCCTCCTTATAAAATAGGTACGTGTTCAGGTGTGGAAGGGGTAAAGACTTTCTGCTGATACTAATAACAGAATGTTGCAAGGATTTATTCACATGCTGAACACTTGCCTAGTGATCCATTTATTAGCTAACAGAACTAAAAGAGCTTTTGGATTTTTCCACTAATGTTGTACCATACTGAATGCCAGGGGGAGGTAATAATTTGAATTCTTCTTGCAATATATCCTTGATATTGACCCTGTCTTCAGAAAGGCGTTAAAGTTTTCGACTTTATTTCACTTGAAGAAAAATTTTAGTTAAGCTGGCTATGTGCTCTTTCTTGCTTAAAAGGGAAGCTCTCTGACATAGCATTTTGTGCCCCATTTTTATGTGTCACTTTAGGATAATCATTATTTTCAATCTCCAGCTTTCAAAAATCATGAGTCAGGTTGTTTAAAACCATGCCACGTTAAAATGTGCCTCTGTTCGCCCTCTGGTTTAGTTGTATACACAGTGATTTTAAAGTCAGTAAGATTTGCAGCTAACCATGTAATACAGCCCACAAACCGGTATGTGTTTATGCAGAAACAGTTGCTTACCAAAAGGTTTAGCAAATTGGACTTTAATTTATAATCTTCCTTTGGAAGCAAAACTGGAAGGTGACTCCTCCTGCCTGCAGCTGATTGCGGCCCAAGAAGCCAAGCCACTGCTACCCTGGAGCTGCCCTCAGCTGGGGAGGGAGACAACAGCCTCCAGCCCTGCAGGGTTGTATTGCCTGGCATATGCTGCCACAGTCAAGAAATTGAATATTGCGTGGGAAAAGAGACAACCACCATCCTCTTTCTGTGTTGATGGTCTGTCTTAACATGACCGGGTGTCAAGTGGCACAGTGTGCTGAGATGAGTGTGCTGTCGGCTCTACGTGGCAGCACCTTAACGACTTCCCTTGGCACTGTGCTGTGAAGCCACCAGTGATGCTGTGGGGAATTGTATGTTTGTGCTGCTTTATGTCCCTGCTGTGGGTATGAAAGGGGATAACTGTACAGTCTTTGTGTCTAGGTTTGCAAACTGCACTTTCAGATATGTCCCCTTAGAATACATGTTAGGGCTCTGTCTACATGTCTTTATGTGTGGCTTTATCTTATTATCTGTCCGGTCCAAGCTTTTAGTAGTTCTATAGGTTATTTTGCCGCTTTCTTTGTTAGCAGTGGGACCTGCAACAGAGCCAAAAATCTGGGAACGTTCCAGAAGTGCTCACAAACATCAGTTGTGTAGCTTCTTGCAGTCAGACATATGAAGCTTTCAGAAACCCTGGAAACCTGAGGAGACTCTGCGAACCCACTCTGGAAGCCTGAGGAGAGATCCATCACTTTCCTCAAAGGCTGCATTCATCTGCTTGCAAAGCTTCCACATAGGAGCAGCTTGTTAGAGGGACCTGTGGAGCTTGAAAATTTTGCCAGTAATAATTCAGGCCTAGTTCTGAAGTCAAATATTTAGTTAAACAGGCTGTGTGATGACTGGATTAAACACAGTGGGCATCTGAGCAAGCTTGTCACTTCATTTTTTTTTTGTCAGTGTCCATCTCATAAGCCTATAATTCAGTTTTTCCCGTCTCCCAGACTCTGCTTATCCTGTGTAGCCTTTCAGACAACACAGAATGAGGCATTTCAGCAGAGCTGCTGCTCCTAGCTCAGAAAGCAGCCTGTACCACAAAATGATTTTCTCTGTCTTCAGACTTAGGAAGAATCCAATATTATGGATTTGGGATGAAATCACATGTTAGAGAAATTGTTGTTTGTTTGTTTTTAAGTAAAAGTCTCAAAGATGCCAGGAAATCTCAGAGCAGTGAAGCAAGTCTTGCCTGGCAAGATGCCATGTGGGCTTGACACAGATAGTTCAATCCATGTTAACAGCTACTGGAAGTTGCAATTGGTGATTTGGACTTTCCTGTCCTGTCAGTGCCACTTTCCAAAGCTCATAGGCCTTTAAATCCCTTGAAAAGATGAATGGGCTTAAGCTTCTGTGTAGCTTTGAAAGTGAAGCTTACACTCAATTAACACAGCCGGCAGGGTTATTCCTGATGTCCGTGGCGCTCCTGCTGATCTCTGCCTTTCACACAATTTACTGTCATGATTTCACTGCGTCTTCCAACTCAGTTTATTCTCCTTTGAGTTGTAGTGGGAATGCTAAGTTGCAGTCTGAACCAGTGATTGAGCACCTGGTGGGAAGGAAGGGCCAACCAGGGAGAAGGCTGGGAGATCACTGGCGTGACAGCCTCAATCCTACAGTGATCACCAGGTCACAGCAGTCCT